ACGATGACAGCCCGTATCCCGAATGCAAGGAATTCCGGTTGAATGCTCCAGGACGCCCGACAGACCAGGGCGGTTTTGGTACCTTTGTCCGCTACAACTATACGGAACATATTCGGGAGTTGCCCTGCACCGAGGCCAACGGCTTTCCGCAAACTGATTCTGGTTGTAACGGGATTTTTGTCCGACATTTGTGGACCGGAAAGGACGATCAAATCAAGATCGACGTCGGAACACAGATGCCTGGTCCCTATTTGAAGCTTTTTCACGAACAATTTTTGAAAGAGAAGCCTACTTTCTACATTGAACAGGAAGACTTGCTCCGCCTTGGTCCATCAGAGGCACTGAAAGGCAAGTCTGTCATACGGTGATGCACCGGCCTTTGGAGTGGTAGATTTAATGAAAACCGCCCATAATATTCAAGAGTGTACGATACGAGTTGGGGTCTTTGGTCCCTATTTTTCTCCATTACATAACTATACCTGTGGCCTTTTGTTCCGTTTGGGCGCAATTTTGCATATGTTTCTACACACCTTGGCTGAAAACAGTTTTCTGGTCGTGGGAAAAGTCTATAAAGCATGGTTGGGGGTGGGGGGATTCACAGGAAGTGCATTAGAAGCAACCGGAGTTGGTTTCGGGCACATGGCATGCATAATACCCTAATGTACATAAACATATGTATAATCAATATGCAAATGATCCATGTATTTGGTTTTTGGGCAATGACCAATTTAAAGACGAAGAGCTAGTCGACTTTGTCATATTTGTCAGTCTGTCCATGTATTTTCTCAGCAACCAAGCCGGTGTGTTAATCCCCACAGTTTATCTATCTGTTCCTTAGCTTCCAGCCGGGTGTATTATCACCGCGTCCTCTAAAGAAAGATCTCCTCGCCAATCCCGGACACTTGGCTTGTTTGCTGAGCTGTTGCTTCCTGACATCAACATGTGCAAATGCCCCTTCTCGGATGTTGGTGTCTGGTGTCCTACAGAAATGACAAGAGAGGTTGGTATATATCTCCGGCTTCTCGGACGAGTAGTCGCCATTCAGACACGACAATCCGTGTCTGTAGAAGCAATAGGTTCGGATCTCGCCATTCCAGCAGGGTACGAGGTTCCGCTGTTTGTTGAAGATGCGACGGCAAGTTGGGCAGACGTGCCATGAGATGAAGTGGAAGCACATTTCGCCAAAATTAGGCCGGAGACCTGCCTTCGACCATGGGAAAGATTCCGGTACTGAGAAAATTTTGGGAAAAAGAAAAAGAGCAGAGATTATATCCTCTTTTTCGTCTCTTCTAGTCTGGATATCGCAGATGCAGACTTGCGAGCTGCAGAAACTGAGGCGGCGTCCACCCCTCGTCTGATTAGGTGCGAGGGTAGAGACATATATCACAAGCGACCCTTCCGGACCGTTACCAGCTCTTTCTGAGACTGCTCGAGAATGAGTGCCCTACGGTGTCGAGATCCAACCGGCGTTATTGCCGTGGAGGGCGATGTGTCAGCAGCCACGGACACTGTAGCTACAGCTATCAAACACTCAGTGTAGCAGGACCGTTGCATTGAGCTCTGCAGGCAGATAACCAGCTTGCAACGACGAGATGCCAGTGACCTGGCAGATGGTTTCAACGAGGGCCCAGGTTCACTGTGCGATTTGGCCCGCACCCCCCGTTGCGCGGTGGTCGGCCTACCTTGCTCACAACGTGAACGGAGCGACAAGGCGACAGGGCGCCCTCACTGCTGTAGTGGCGGTTACTCGGAGCGGACAACCGGCGCCAAGCTGGCGGTGATTAAAGTGAGCGGTCCGGCAGTTGGGTATTCCTAAACGATATGTAATCATGCCTCTCTTCCCGTGGTCGGTTTATCAAAAAACCATGCGTGGCTTTAATCCTCTGGATCTGCCCAGATGACCATATTCGTCGGCGCGTCCTCCAAGTCCATGAAGAACCGGCAAACCTGTCTATCCGAGTACCTCATGCTGAAATGGATCAAAATAAAGGTAGTTCCCGGCCACCTGCGTATGACGGGCTCCAAATCGCTCCACTTTGTATGCTTAGTCTTGTCCGCCTGCGCAGCATGGTCCTCGTGCAAGAAGCTGCACTCTGTAATGACGACGGGTATCCCGTCCCTCAGCCAGGGCGGCTCAGAAGCCAAGGTGGCGATTGTGGTGTCGCCCAGAAACGCAAACATGGGCACAGAGTGAGGTTCTGTGATTTCCACGCCAGACTGTCGCAGATCTTTGAGCTGGGGCCCGGCGAGCGATTTGTACTCTTGCATCAAGCGGTTCGTCGTAGATGAAAAGACGTATCCCACGCAGGGGACGGTGTGGTCGCAGCTGAACGCTGTGGCTGTGATGCCCTTTAGTCGTCGGAGGGGGACTGTGTCTCCATGCTTGACGCCGTGAGTAACGTGAGTGTTTAGAAATGCCCGCTCCTGGGGCGTTCGCCCGTCGGCATCTGTTCCTCCATTCGTGTTGTCTACCTTGTAGCCTTGCTTCTCTGCGTCGCCCACCTCAACAAGGCCTCCCAGGTTCATCATTGTTGTGCTGAGGATGTGGTTGTCAAAGATGTGCTTCATTTCTGCGGGGCAATATATGTCGGGTGGATCTTCTCTTTTCACAAAGGCATAGGCTAGGAGCGTGTGGTCTGCATGTCCGTGAGTGAGAAAAATGTGCTTTGGCCTTTGCTTGTTGACGCAGAGGCCTGCGTCGAGGAGGACGTTGAGTTGGGGGATGACGAAGGATGTGTGCCAAGCGGCGCGGGATCGGCCCGTCAGAACGAGGTGGTTGTGTGGCTTCGGGAATTTCCATTCCAGCACTTCGGAGCGTGGTGATTGTGGGAGGGGCGTGGCAAAGGATATTTTGCCCATGGTTTTGGAGTGAAGCGAGAAGGGGTCTTGGAGAAACATGGTAATGGTATATCGAGGATGTAGTTCGTGAGGCGGACGAAATAGTTCGTTTGGTGCCCCACAATAAATGAGTGTGTGCTTTTACAGCATGACTGCATTACCAGCAAGCAGGCAGATATCAAAATGCAGACGCTTTGGAATTTTCTGCGTCACATATGGTTAAGGACTTGATGATTATGGAGAATGATTATACACTGTGCTGTATACTTGCTATAGTAGAGGGAATTGGCCATTCGTTATTTCAGGAGGATGGAGCCTCCCATAGTTACAAGACGTGAATTGAGTTACTTGACATATATTCATTCATCACAAACAGATCTACCAAATCAACTACAATGCTGGGTTTCTCTATCCGATCAACTATGTTGGGCCTCAATCCGACGACACCAATCCCTCCCATGAGCTAGCTGATACGCACAAAGCCTCGGCTCCAGCAAAATACTCACAAATGCCGCGACGCAGATGCCTCCACTGTCACTTACAGTAGTAGCACTTAGGCTAAACTCGCGCTCTTCTTCAGGGATATTCTCCATAATCTCAGCGAAGCAATTCACGTACACTGCCCCTCCCAACAGGCCTTCCCAGAATATAATGATAAAGACAATATACACCGAAGGGATAAAGAAGAACATACTCTGTAGAATCAGAAGCACCATGTTGCCAACCTGCAGGACGGACGGAACGTAGAGTTTGTGGATGCGGACAAACGGGGTGGAGGATCGAGAAATGAAGACGCCCAGCTGATATAAGAATCCATAAAATGGGTAAAAGCCGCGAAATTCTTCAAAAGGAGACGATTCGACGGGGAAGAGGAGGGTTGGCGAAACCCCTTGGTTGATGATGTACTCGGCGATGTAAACAAGCAAAAGAGGTGCCATATATGGAACGAACAGAGACCTGGCGCGCCTCAAGTTTTTTCTGAACGAGTGTGAACCCCCTGGGCCGTGTAGCGAGTGAGCCACGTGAACATTCGACGGGCCTGGCGCCAGTAGCGCAGACGAAGCTGCCCCCTCCGGCATATCCTCCACATCCTCTTCCGTAAGATCCTGGTCTGGAACCGTTTCATAATCCTTCTGCTGCGAAGACTTTCGCAACGGATCGAGCGGCAAAATGAAGAAGAAGCTCAGAAACATGACAGCAGGCAAGCACGCAGAAAACAGCAAGCTGTCCCTCACGCTGAATCTCCACCACTCGGTCAAGACGACGTACAGGCCGGCGCCCACTAGCCCTGCAGCACCGGTCCCCGACCCCCATCCTACAAGGCTCATGTGTCCATAGTAGTGCGACAATCCCAAGAAGCTGAGTTCGCCCCCTCCGCTGCTTAGGCTCGCCAGCACCACCCCGACCATCTTTACGTAGACCGATTTCGACGGCGGCGTTAACGCAACCAGGAGCATGCCGACGGCCGACAAGGTTATGAACACGAGCACTCTCACTCGGTACGGGACGTGGTGTATGAAGTACGGCGCGATGAGCTTGGTGAAGAATGACGGCATGACATCGGCGAGGAGGACAACGCCCTTGGGGATAGAGGAGCCGACGAGGTCTTGGGCAGCCGAAAGAATGATTACATAGAGAACATTATTTATCAGGCCTGTTGCATTGCACATCATGTTAGTCGCAGCCGTCACGGGATCGGTATCGGAAAGAGGCATTGAGGAATCAGGCGCAGCGCACCGAATAGCCAAAAGGCCATGAGAACCCTGGTATCCTGGTGTCGGAACAGGGTCGCCATCCTGGAGCGATACGTTGCCCATGATGAGCCTGGGTTCCCGGGCATGGGGAGCAGCGCCGACGAAGATGAGGGCGTGTTGCGGCCTGTCATTGTGGTGCATGTGCAGACATGGCCTCTGATCTGGGATCCCGAGATTGAGGTGTGACGGGTTGCGTTAAGGAAGAAGAGGTGCGTGCCGTTGCGGGAAGCTGGGGTCAAGCATGTCAGCAACGTCACGCGACATGCGGCTGCACATGATACGGACTAGGCTGCTTTGTACCTGATACATCTCACCACACCACAATACAACTCTTGTCGAGAGTTGAAAAAAAAAACTGCATACAAGAACTTTTGCATTTTGTTTCGAGAACCAATTTCCAACAGAGCCTTATCGCGTGGAATATCCCTCCGTCTCCTTGCTACTCTGCGTCACGCTCTCGGGCGGAATCCACCCCTCGGCCGAAATACTATCTGGCACGCTCTCAGGCGTGTAATACTCGTCACCCTTGAACTGCGAGCCCCCGGGTCCAGGCGGCTTGTCCCCAACATTCGCCTTGGTCGCTTGTTTCCCCTGGGTAGCAATGTCGCCGACGCCGCCGATGCCCTCGACGTGCGGCACCCGAGCGGGAACAACATCGTTGTCGTTCTGTCCCGGCTGTTTGTCGTATGAGTCTTGGAGTTTGTCCAGAGGGCCGCCTTTGCCTTCGAAATGCACTCCCCTGGTTTGACTAACTCTCTTGTTAGTAAAAAGAAATGAAAATAAAGAAGTGAACGGCTCGGGCGACAATGGTGTATCACAGATGTGTCCTTGAAACGTACCGACCGCGGTCGTCCAGAATGCCACCTTCACTGGGAGGAATGCGCCTATTGTTTCCACGGTTTGTGCTGAGCTCGTCGCCGTATTTTACCTCTGCAGAATCGAACTTTTTCTCGGCAAAGGAGTTGACACCAGCCTCATCGAGACCCTGGGGTCTTGCATTGCCGGTCTTGGACTGGTACGTGTTCAAGTCGGCCTCGGCCTGCTTCGAGATGCTTTCGTAGTCTGTCATTATTTTTTGCAAAGGAAGTCTAGAAACAATTTTTCTTGGTAAATGTGATATATCACATTGGCAAACCAATCTTGAGTCGGAATTGTTGGATTCACTTGGACTCTTCCGCTTTTATATACTCTAGCACCTTCATGTTCAAGCTACGTCATACGCAGAAAGCGTTCGAACTGTATGATTTCACTCATGATATCATGATACTACCTTACAGAGACGCTCTCGCCATAGTGGGTTCTGATCTCGGCTCTGAGCAAGGTGCTGCGTGGAGAAACTCGGAGGTTTTGGTCCTAATCGAGATCGACATGGCTTGTTGTGGCGAAGAGGCTGATGACAAAATCATGTCACTCAGAACTCGTGGCATTTATTATTTGTGTACTGTCGGCTCTCTTGGTAGTTCTTGTCTATATTCTACTAACAATGCCACATCTTTTTACGGAAGAATAATCATGAGCCATTCGTGTGAAACTACCAGTTGACATGTATCAATTATAGCCACATGTCTGGTGCAACATTGAAAGAAACCAAAAAGCATCAATAGTCCCTAGCAGCACTTGACAGGCTGCGGACCACTAAAACCACTCGGCATGGGGCAGCAAATGCCACCAGCCATGTAGTAAAATGCATTCAAGACCCGGCAAAACGGCGGCTCGATTTTCCACTACAGGCAACAAATTTCCCCTACCAGACGATGCCGACTCCAAACATTTGGCGATAGCTTCACCGCAGATCCCAGCAAATGCGCCTTAATTGGCATACACCTCAGCTCGACACCGCCTCTCGCCATCAGATATCAATCCCACCATGTCTTCTGCGAATAGAGAGGACGCATGTCCCGTAGATCACAAAACCCGCGACGCCTGGCTCTCCCAAGCCCGCGCAGCCGAAGCTACCAAGTCGCAAGCCGCCGCCGCCCAATGTCCCGTGGACCACACCTCACAGGCGCAGTCGAAGTCGTGGGCGCAGACAATAACTTCTTATATACCCTGGACGTCAGCATCAACGGCAGCAGCCACTCCCGAAATCAAACCTCGCGATGCTCTCAACACGGATCGCGCAATCTCGACCATTCCCCGATCCACCACCGGGCCCGAGGCATGTCCCGTAGACCACGGCGCATCCGCCAATGCACCCAACGCCGAAATCGAGTCCGGTGTCGACGCCTCGGGGAACTGGGTCTATCCCTCGGAGAAGATGTTTTTCGACGCCATGAAGCGCAAGGGCTACGATGCGAGAGTCGCAGACATGAAAACCGTGGTGCCGATTCACAATGCCGTCAACGAACGCGCTTGGCAGCAGATTAAGGAGTGGGAGGCTCCGTATCTCTCCAAATCAAAGTGGGTTTCCAAACCATTCTGTGTCTTGGACGCCCATCAGTGCTCACAGATGATTTGTTAGCTGCGGCGGGCCAAAACTCGAATCCTTCGCCAACAAAAACGACCGCATGACGCCAACGGCCCGTATCAACACCATTCTCGGATACACCGCGCCCTTTGACCGCCACGACTGGGTCATTAACCGATGCGGCACTCGTGTCGAGTACGTGATTGACTTTTATGCCGGACGGCCGGGTGCCAAGGACAAGGCTGGGCCGAGCTTTTATCTTGATGTGCGGCCCAAGCTGAATACCTGGGAAGGCGTCAAGATGCGTGCCATGCGGTGGACGGGTTTGGCGTGACCATTGCCAAGGGCGGCTGAATATCTTGCATTCACTCTGTACAAAACGAAGATGAAAGTTTACGAAAACCTGTATGATACCATTTGGCGTTGGGCGGCATCTAAATCAGTTGCGTGCGTGCGTTATAGACGAGCTTGTGCTCTTGTACAATATACTCTCCCATCCTCGGAGAAATTTAGCCTCTTTGCTCTCATACCAATCGTCTAGTACGCCACTCTAGCGAGTCAATCGTAAGCTACTCTACATGAATTTCACAATCCATCAAACTTGCGCAGTTACTGGTCCTTCCGGGCAGCTGACTGAATTCGGAGTCGAATAGGCGCACTCGTCTCAAAGGCCTGCGCCTCCAGATTCCACCCCAGCCGGCCCAGTGACTTCCACAGGTCCTCGTCATCCGCGTGCCTCTGCTTGAGCAGTGCGGAGGACTCGACGGAGGACTCGACGTGATGGCCCTCCTTGTCCATCCACCAAGCAGTCTCCATTGCTTTGAACCACGCCAAGACGGCGTGTCTGGGTTCGCAGCCGAACCAAAGCAGTATCTTGATGACTCCAACACGGCCATCACGCGGCTCCGTAACAAACAAGGTGTACTTTTCCCCATCTACCACTTTGACTTGTCTCCCGTTACAGCTCGCAGCAGCTCTTTGGTAGCTCTCGGCAAATTCAATCTTGCAAACCCGTTCAGCGAGGCGACTACCTACAACAGGAGCCCACAAGACAATGTTCTCTCGCGCGGCTACGGCCTCTGGAGTGAGCACCGTCCCCGTCGTCATGTACTCCCGGAACAGAATCGTAGCTCGCTGGCGATTAAACGTCGTCATACAAACGCTCCTCACGCCAAGGTAGTTCATCCAGAGGTGGGCAAGGACCAGAGTCACCATCAAATAAACGACACTCTGATGATCTTGCACGAGCTTGACCACCAGCGTGCCGACGAGAAGTCCAATCAACCCCACTGCTGTTTCCTGACTGGCCTCTTTGGCATTCAACTCGGCCAAGTTGTCGTGCTTGGCGAAATGCACGCTCAAGGCGGCCTTGCTAGCACCAGCTGCCACTCCGCACAGGGCCCGCAACGCCTGCCCGACAGAGAGGGCCAGTATTTTGCCATAGTCTCCAAAGTAGGGGCTGTAGAGCTCAAGAAAAAACGCCGTATCGTTGAAAATGTCGGCCAGGAAGCGGAACCGCTTGGCGTCGGGCTCGATGCGCAGGCCGAAGCGGTGCGCGAACACGATGGTGGCAATGCGGGATGTAGCATCTGTGAGGATGGTGATGAGCATCGCAAATGTGGCGGAGGAGTCGGCATCTCCCACCCCCAGGCCCTGGAGCAAAGCTCGATTGGCCAAGAGGGACGTGATTGTCGAGAAGAAGGCTTGCAAAGAATCATAGGTTTGATAGGCGAGGTAGTCGTTGGATACCGAGTGGGGAAATCCAATGGGCAGAAAGGCGTCAGAGAGAAATCGCTTCCATTCCCGCACGGAGCTGTGAATGATGCTGCTTGGCTCGGTTTCGGATTCCAGCTGCGGCGTGAAATGTCAGTAGATTGATTCATGAGCTGGTGGTAAAGTGAGTGAGTGAGTGTTGGAGCATGGTGGAACTGACAACCGCTATGGTATTGTCTGAGCGATGAAGCCAGCGACGTTGAACGTTGCCTGACTTGTCAAGCTCGGAAATCTCGACATCATCCCCTTTCTTGATCAAATCCGCGACACGAATGGGCGTCTGGTTATTCTTATCGTTGTGGAGGACTTTTTGCTCCATGGTGAGTGAGATGTCAGAGGTGCGAAGTTGCCAAAGCGGTGCTCAACGGACGGCTGTTGCTGGAATCGTACTAAGCCATAAATGAGAGGACAATGATTTCGCACCGTGGTCCGCAACACACCATTGGAGAGAAAAAAGAGAAAAAAAAACTGGACGGTGATGAAGAAAGGTGTGGGTTTACGTGTCCATGACACGGTGTTGTGAAAACATGCCTGGTTATTTTGATAGCCAGTCACTGACAGCTGCCAACTAAACCATGCCAGCTGCGCTAGCTGTTGGTGATGGGCGAGATGGACGCCGACCAAGCCTCAGCCTGCGTTGTGCTGCGAGAGTTCTCTGAATCGCCTGAGTTGACCTGATGTATCGAAGAAAGGTGCGAATATGCAATGGCTGTGAGTAATTACAGCATTCCTTAATATATAATGGCTTGCTTCTAGGTGAACAATGACATGTCTAGTCCCAAATCTCACACCATGCCTACCTCTTCACAGGCTGACCATCCTCACCCACCAAATACTCTTCCGTCTTCAATGGACCCTCGCCAACGCCAGTCATAATGACTCTGCTCACTCCGTCCTTCAACGTGCTAGCAATGCCATCTTCCAACTTTGCGCCGGACTGGGCGCTAACGCTGTCTTCCTTCCATCCCGAAACGCCATTCAGAACTCCTGCAAACGCACCAAGCACGGTGGGGGCATCTTCCTCAAGGTAGTAAACGACGCAGTTTGGACCGGCATCAAAAGTGTAAGCGGCAATAGTCCTTCCAGCCTTGGCATTGATTGACTCCACGGCGCGAATAGCCGCACGGGAGACGTCGTTCATGTAGAAAATTGGGGGATATGTATCGGCACAGCAGGCGTGGAACGAATTGGAGTCGCGCATGGTCACTTCGGCAAACTTGGCAAAGTCCTTGGCCTTGATAGCTTGCTCCATGAGGTCCATGTTGGCGGGGACGACTTGGGCGATTCTCTGCTGGAACAAGCCGGACGTGGCAACTGTTTGCTGCATGCCAGAGGTGGATGAAACGCCCTTCTTGGCGGCGCTGACAACGAGGATAAGTGCACGCATGTTGGGCCAGTGCGACGCCGGCGCGACCAGGTCGGCCATGGAGTCGCTTCCGTCCTCCTTGTCACCCATTCTCCACGCAACGTAGCCGCCGAAGAGGCTGCGGCATGCTGATCCGGAACCCTGTCTGGCAATCAGGGAAAGCTCCGACGGCGAGTCTGGAAGTTCGTATAGGTTGGCAATGGCCTGAACCAAGGCAGCGAAGCCAGCGGCCGAGGAAGCCAGACCAGCAGCAGTGGGGAAGTTATTCTCGGAGACAATCTTCAGGGGCAAGGTCGACAACTTGGGAAGAGACGGGTTGGAAGCTTCCAGGGCGGCACGACGAGCTCTCAATTCGCGAAAACAGGCTTGAGTTCGTGCTCCGGAGATGTCCGAGGGCTCGCCATTGAGCATCAGGCTATCACCATCGGAATAGGAGGCGGAGCAGGAGGCTGTCGTCAGGGTCCGGAGATCGGCTTGAGAGAGCGTGACGGAGAGAGAACTGTTGGTCGGGAGGTTGAGTTTCGCATCTCGCTTGCCCCAGTACCTATTCAAGATGATATCAGCAGACGTTCGCCCTCAATTGCAAGGTTGAGCGTGGTGGGGGAGACAATTACTTGACAACGGCGATATTCACCGGAGCCGTGGTGCTCGCGCGATAGACCTTGTTGCCAGCCATTGCCGAGATGCCTGTCGGCTGTCAACAGTCAATTCTCAGGACGGCGTGAAGCTTGAGATGTACAACGAACACTTGGCCTTGCGGAGATATTTGGTTTACACCGCTAGATCCTGGAAAAAGAAATCAATAGCGAGAGCATTCGAGAGGGAGATTGGGCTTGGCCTTGGCCGTCACACGTTTGGCCCGTCACATTCGTCTTTTTGGTGCGGGGCTTCGTTGGAGAAACCCCGCCATCGCCGCCCGAAGTTGCCAAGTCCACCAACATTGACGGATAAGATTGGCCAACCGTGCAGCATCTCAGCAACTTAGTGCCGAGCTAACATTGATAGATGGCATCTGGAAATCTGGAATCCAACCAGTCGTTGACATTTACAAGATGGAGACGCATTAAATGTTCCCCACTGTTAACCTCGCAGATCACTCAACGTTGATGGTGACAAACACCAAGGAGTCAAGGATCACTACACATCACCATCGAGCCACAAACCGACGCAAAGCGTTAAATCTTTCACCGTTACATCAGGAAACGCCACAAGAGTGCTGAGAACCATTCAAATTTAATATCCTAAGTTGGCACAATATAAATCCAATCCAAATACTAGTGGTACACAGTCAGGATGACGAGAAATATGCCCGAACCCACTGGTTGTGCTCGCAAGTGAGCTAGCTAATAAAACAAGGATAGAACAAAGATGAAAAAAGATACAGGTCCCCTCCCCAAGAAGCCATGCGCTTTGGCACCGACATATCCATTCAACACGACAAATTGAAACCCTTCGCACTCTTCACCGATTGAAGTCGATCAGAGCAACCGCGCCAATAGGGTGTGCGCTCGATATAGTAGCCTCTGAGCGTGTCGCTGATACGCATAAACTCGCGACGGAAAGTCAAGTATCGATCCTCACCGGGCAGCTCGGCCAAAAGGAGGAACCAGAAGGGATACCACGTGGCAATGAAGGTATTTTCCATTGGAGAAAAGTCGTCAGGGTTGTAGACTGGGCGACTCGGGCCAACGGGCACGACGATGTAATAGTCCGGGTGGATTCTCGCAAAGACGAGGTTGTAAATGCCGGCGCTCAGAGTCATGCATTGCATGCGGTAAGTGAACTCGTCCAAGACGGCTTCGAATGCTGGATAGTATTTCTTGCGTGGATAACCACTCTGCGAGGCCGTTTCAAAAACTTTTTTGCCGTGAGGGCCCCATGAGAGATCATATCCACGGGCCCGGACCCATTGGACAAGATCCTCGCCGCTTTGCCGGCTCCATGGCGTCCAGCGGAAGTATCCCATGAATCTTCTCTCCCAGTCGAACCGCTTCTCGTCGGCCATGAGGGCGGCTTGGGTATACAAGACATCGACGCCCGCACGTCGAATCAATCTGTCGGAACGCGTTCGTTGTTGAGAGTTTACGATACTCGGGAACCAACGCCTCACAGGAGGCACGACCGGGGTGTGGTAAAAGAACGACTGGAAGGGATCTGGTTGAGGTGCTTTTTCGTCATCGTGGGCGGCTGATGCGACTGCAGAGGATGGTCTCGCCGAGCCAAGTAGGATTGAGGGCCCGTCGTATGCCAAGTTATGAGCGAACAGTGCCCTCGCGGTCAGTGGCACTCGTGGGCCAGCTGGGATTAGGTTGTGGTTGACGGATGCCAAATCGAGAGCGAGTGGCGTATCAGAGGTCAATGGCACTGGTGAGCCAAGTGGCATACAAGTCTCGTTGGGCGACAAGTCAAGAGCAAGTATAGTGTTTGGAGTCATTCGCACATCGCCCGTTTCCGCAGACATGGACGGAGACTTGGAGATAGCCTCGGGGGCTGATGCAAGAGCTGCAGGCCCGAAAGGTGTTGGAAGGGGCAACTTTGCACCGGCAGTAGAAGCCATGGTTGAAGCTTTTGATGCCCAGGGTGACTCAGGGGCGTAAGTGTGAAAAGAGACTGTGATGTTGGTGCTTTCTTAATTGACAGTAATAATACAGAAAAGTGAATTGAAGTGCACCCTTGCAGAACGAGGAAGACGAACAGAACTGGGCAGTTTGCATGTGGAGGCAAAGAGAGTATAGATATGTGATGGTTTCCTACATGTCGGAATTCCCAAGGGCGCTGAGGTTGATACACATTTGCATATAGTTTTGGCTTTTGCAAGTGGCTGAAGCATATCACAAAGGACCAGCTCAATAAATTTGGCACTATAATGGCCGATTTTCTGTCTAGTAAGTTTGACCTCGTACCTTTGAGAATGCTACGCCGAGTATACGGGATACACACCAGGGAGGGCGACATTAAGGTTGAAAGATGTAAAGACACTTTGTTCGACTAGCACATGGGGACTACAAGAGTAGAATTCACTACTGCAGCACACCTGCTAAACTCTGTTGAGCTCTTTCATCGTTCAGTTGGACCGAAATAATGCCAATGTGGGCAACGGCACAAGACGACAAACGCCATGGTACGTACCTAGGCATCTGAGGGCCGTTGAAGTATAACTCCCAGCAGCAAGCATTAAGCATGACCATTCATGTATTTGAACAGCGTTCAAGAATGCTGCAAATATTGTAGTAAAAAGTTTAACTACCCGTTGAGTTCTGCTGTAGTATATCGTGGCTCCGTCACAAAAAGTAAGCATGGAACTACTAGTTGGTGGACCACATGTAATAATGTAGACCATCAAACTGTACGATCTCTTCTATGGTAGTTGTATACACATTCTAAGACTATGGTAATTCGTTCGCGGCTAGGGTTTGTTTGGTACTGAATAAGAAGCATTGAAAGACCTGGTAAGTCGAGTGAGGCCAAGTCAAAAAAGGCCGTCCGTGACAGACATCTACAAGTGTACATGGCAGCAAGACTCGTGCCGCCAGCGGGATGTGTGAAGCAATCAAGTCGATCCGGATACCGACCATTTGGGTTCTCCATCTGCAAAGCATAAACAACTAGTTGGAGCCACGTCTCGAATCTTAAAACGTGAAGAGTTGATGCCGTGGGCGCCCCGCTGAAGTTTGCGTACGCCTTCCAATTGAGCAGCGAGCACTAGCAAGCGCCCTTCTCCTTGTTCCTGAATCCTGGGCCTGGGGGCGTGCGCTAGGCTCTCTCTGGCCGAGCACATGGCGTCTGGCATTCGTGACGTCATTCTCCGGCAGATGGGCAACGTCAATTGTCATGTTCGGCAAGCATCAATTGATGATGGCTGCACAGGCGACCATCCATTAATTCCACCTCGCATCGCCAGCGGCGGCTACTAGACCGCACTGCTTTTGTTTTTGGTCTTTTCACGCCGTGCCTGCACAACCGCCACTTGCACTCGGATCCTGCAGGGCGCCATGGGCCATGTCTTGGGTGGCACGTTGTTGGCCGCCAACAGGCTCGCTCGGCCGCCCGCCGTGGTCTTGGGCAAGCCGCGAGTATGCTGTTGGAGAGCTTCACCGTGGCCCGTGATAGTGTCTAGTGCTCTTCAGTTCTCAAGTTCCAGCGCAAGACACACCAATTACACTAGTGCCCGGTACGAGGCTCGCGGCCGCAGTACAACACAGCGCAAGGTCGACGACAGGCCGTGGCATCGCGAGAGCAGTGGATCGCTGCCCAAGTCGACCTCGCCCGACCCGACCGGGGGAGATGCAACCAAAGGTCTGTAGAAGCCAAGGGAGTAATCACGCTTGTTTCCGCTACACAAAGCACTAACTGGTCGTCGCAGGTCGTCTGCTTACGACTCCCACTCGGCTGCTGAAGCTCATCCTCCCCATCCCCTTTCACCCCGAGCAAGAATACATCAATTCGGACGAGACCAAAACAAACAAGCCAAAAGAAGACGCGGTTGAGCCTCTGGCGTTGCTCGTCCACCCGCAGCAGCCGCTCTCCTACCTGGAGAGGCTCATTCAGGCTGAAATTCCCCCTCTTCTGGTAAAGGATCGCGAGAAGCTGCCTGAAATCATCTTCCGGGCCGAGGCAGACTACACGGGCGGCAACAAGAGTAATGATGGGAGAAGGGAGGAGTCCAATGGCAACGGGTCCAATGTTGCCTCTTATTCTGGACTCGGGCGCGAGGGGCCAAGCAAGGGCGACACTCACTGGGTCCGCTGGAGTGGAAGCACCGAGATTGGCGACTTTATCAGAGACGCCGCTCGTGGCCGCGAGTTTTCCGTCACCATCGAGGGTCACGCCGAGGAACTGCGAGTTGCCGTGCCGAGCTTCAAGGACAGGACATACTACATGCGAATGAGGCTGCGGCGAATGTCCCAGGAGATTGATCAGATGGCAACGGTGAAGCGAGAGTGCGATCTACTGGCGCACAAGGGTGCTCATGCACTCGCCAAGGGCGGTTTTGCAGCGTTGGCGGCCTGGTGGGGGATTGTTTATTATGTGACATTTCACACCGATATGGGCTGGGACCTGGTCGAGCCCATCACCTACCTCGCGGGACTGGCCAGCATCATGGGCGGCTATCTGTGGTTCTTGTTCATCAGCCGCGACTTGAGCTACAAGGCAGCCATGAACGTGACGGTTTCAAGGCGGCAAAACGCTCTGTATCAAGAACGGGGGTTCGACCCGGCGAAATGGGACCAACTCGTACATGACGCCAATGGTCTTCGAAGAGAGATCAAGTTTGCCGCTACAGAATACGGCGTTGAGTGGGATGAAATGAAGGATTTGGGGGGTGAGGAAGTCAAAGAGGTATTGGAGGAGGAGAAGGGCGGCAAGGCAAGGAAGCGGGAGCAGGAGGATGAGGATGGTGACGGTGACGACGACCACGACCACGACCACGACCACGTCAGCCATGGTGCCGAGCTTCAAGGACAGGACATACTACATGCGAATGAGGCTGCGGCGAATGTCCCAGGAGATTGATCAGATGGCAACGGTGAAGCGAGAGTGCGATCTACTGGCGCACAAGGGTGCTCATGCACTCGCCAAGGGCGGTTTTGCAGCGTTGGCGGCCTGGTGGGGGATTGTTTATTATGTGACATTTCACACCGATATGGGCTGGGACCTGGTCGAGCCCATCACCTACCTCGCGGGACTGGCCAGCATCATGGGCGGCTATCTGTGGTTCTTGTTCATCAGCCGCGACTTGAGCTACAAGGCAGCCATGAACGTGACGGTTTCAAGGCGGCAAAACGCTCTGTATCAAGAACGGGGGTTCGACCCGGCGAAATGGGACCAACTCGTACATGACGCCAATGGTCTTCGAAGAGAGATCAAGTTTGCCGCTACAGAATACGGCGTTGAGTGGGATGAAATGAAGGATTTGGGGGGTGAGGAAGTCAAAGAGGTATTGGAGGAGGAGAAGGGCGGCAAGGCAAGGAAGCGGGAGCAGGAGGATGAGGATGGTGACGGTGACGACGACCACGACCACGACCACGACCACGACAGCCATGGCCATGGCCAAGAGCGCAAAGGGAAGAGATCAGAGAGGTCCAGAACGTCTTCACATTAGTCTTTGCGGAGCATCAAGGACCGAGTCGATGTTTAGCTAGCAACACGGAGTACTCGGCATACGATAGATTTCATGGCATTTCTCAGCCACCTCAAGGCCAATCATAACGATGACACACTTGTGACAAAGCTAGACGCAATAGCCGCAAAACAGCCATGGCCTCTCATGACTTTAGCATAGAACTTCCTTTCTGATCCGGACGGATTACCGCGCCTGGCGTGTGCAATTCGTTAGACTCATGGCCATCACATCTGGTCACATCTGGTCACATCCTGTCACAACGGGAGCATCCATTGTCAGCCCACACAGGCCCCGCTCCCGACAGGCACCCAATGCCCGAGACGGCCTTGGTCAACATTGGTCAAATGCGGTTCTTGGTGTTGGTCATGCTGTGTGAAACGCGCATCGCATGATTGGCCCGGCGAACCTGCGTGGCCCGTCTCGGCGCAACCCGGAGCATGCCCGACGGGCTCTCTCTGACTAGGCCCGGCTCGGAGTATCACACGACCCAATAGCGCTGTATTACACGAAGGCTGTGTATTTTTTTACATTTATTTGATGTGTTTCGATGCGTCTTTACTCCTGCCGAGATGGCGAGCAAGGCAATTTTTGAGCGGCATGACATGACACGGTCGGCTTTGGCCTGGCTTGATCACCCCACCCCTCCTCTCCTCTCCTCTCCTCTCCTCGAGTCATCGAACTACGTACTCCAGACTCTAGAGCGGGGCATCATCACCTTGGTCACTTCAATTCTGTTTCTCAGTGAGCCCTGGCGTTGACTCCAAATATTCCTGGTTTCCCTCCCCTTATCTTCTCTTTTTTCATTGTTCATCTTATTACTCACATTCAAACTCAGTCTATCCTGGAGCTCGCGTGGAAAAAAAAAAATAGGGAAAAAATTATATCTGCGGCACCATGAGGCCCCAGATCTTACATCTGCCCGATGGCAAAAAGTTCACCGTCACCCCCGTCTTTGGCGGCATGGGATTCAGCCACGCTCACAATAACCTGCTCCATCCTTATCCCGTCGGCTGGATGACGGCGCTACACACCGAAGAAGACAGGGTCGAGTTTGAGGGCCTCAACGACAGCGAGGGCCATGTCGTCGCGGCAGACCAGGACGAGAACCCGCCGCCCAAAACAAAGAGGCGCATCAGGCCCTTCACCAGGCCTACGCTGCAGAACGACACGCTCTTCATATCGTCCATCTCCATCCCCTCCAACACCGTGTTCAAGCCCGCCGCCAGCCCCACGAGGGAGATCGCCATGATGCTCTGGATCACGCTGTACTGGTACTTTCACCAACCGCCTCCGGACAGGGAACTGCTCACGGCTGCCTCCAAGGACACGCCCCCCGGTGCGAAGCCAGTCGGCGAGTGGAAGATTCGCATCAAGAGGGACGGCGTGCTCCGCGGGAGGAACCTGATCCCCAAGCTGGAGAGGATGGGGCTGATTGCCTCCGAGGACACGGCCGTGGGGACCTGCGTCGATGACAGCGGCGAGGGCTGGACCAACATGTTTGTCTCGAAGCGCATGTTCTGGCAGGTCCCGGGACGCTTGTTCCTGTTCACGCTGCACCCCGTCCGCGGCGTCGACATGCCCGGATCCCCCGGCACGAGTCGCCCGGGCTCGCCCATCAAGGACGACCCGGGGCGTTCGGACCTGCGCCAGATGTACTCGTCGTCGCAGTCGCAGACGCAGACGCCGGCCCTCACGCCCACGGGCGCCCTGACCCCGAGTGGCGGGCAGTTGGCCGCCGACGTGCCGGGCGCGCCGATGCCGACGAGTGTCGCGGCCGCGCCGGCGTTCCCCCTCGGGCCGTACTTCTCCTCGTCCCATCTGCCGACCTACTTCCCGCCGCCGCCGCTGCAGTACGTCTACACCGACGGCGCGCGCCACCCGCTGCGGCCCAAGCCCCCGAGGATGGGGGAGGTCTTCTACACCCGCTTCATCGACAGCCTGGGCCAGTACCTGTCGTTCCGGGTCGCTTCGGCCTCGGCCTCGCCGGTGCCCTACCTCGGGCCGCTGGGGCCTAACCCCCCGGAGCAGAGCCACCTGTCGTCCATGAGCGACCGGGACCTCCTCCGGTCGTGGTTCGCGAGCCAGCGCGTCAGGGACTTCTGGGGCAGCTACGCCCCCGACTTCCTGGAGACGGCGCTGTGCTCAAGGCACTCTTTCCCAGTGATTGGCCTGTGGGACGGCGTCCCCTTTGGATACTTTGAGCTGTACTGGGTCAAGGAGGACATCCTCGGCCGCCACGTGGGCGACGAGGCCGGCGACTGGGACCGCGGCGTCCACATCATGGTTGGGGAGGAGTGGTCGAGGGGCAGGGTGGCCGCGTGGCTCACGAGCCTGGTGCACTATTGCTTCACGGCCGACCCGAGAACCATGAATGTGTGCCTGGAGCCGAGGGTTGATAACCAGAGGTATGGGCTTCCTCCCCCCTTTTCGCTTCCGAACAAGAGTACTGACCCGGCACCAGGGTGCTGCGACACTTGGACGCGCACGGCTTCTCCAAGGAGAAGCAAGTTGCGTTTCCTCACAAACAAGCCTGGTTCGTCAAGCTGCGGCGGGAATTCTGGGACGGGCCAGCCCTGTAGGGAGCTTGTTTCCGTAGAGTAATGGCTGGTTGGTGAACGGGGACACATGGTGGGCGTAAGCAACGATAATCTACATTGTAACTATAATCGAGCTGCGTTTCTAGAACCCCCGTCATGTTTCTGCAATTCCCCCGCCCGGGTCGCCATGTCATAAACTCCAATGTTTGCTCTTCCATGACACACCCCTTCACAGTTTGGTCGTAATGCCCTCGCCGTCATCATCTTGGAGTCCTTGCTTCTCCCTTCGCATCGGCGTACTTGACCCCCGTCGACGCCGCCCCCTCCACTACTTTGACGTGTCGAAGCATGAGCAAGTCAATGGCCGGGATCATCGGGCAGTACGGCAGGTTAGACGGCGCGGCCAACGAGCGGGGAGTCTGTCACGGACCTGGAAGGCGACGAGTGGGAGCCCGTCAAAGGGGTTAATCTGACGGGGTGCACGTATTGCTTGAGAGCGGAATCGAGGGCCATTGTAAACACGGCTTCTGTCCATGGGACGAATGAATGGCGAGACTGCAACTACACTGTTGGGTTTCAACTCTAGCATCGAGGTTCGGCGCAGGCACTGACGTGAACAAATCTAGCAACAGCGTGTCGTGGCGCATTCGGTGCCAACAAACACGGCGTCATGGGACTTGCGAGAGTCGCGGCAAAGGAAAATGGGCATCGGGTGGTTCGGGTCAGACGCCGTTGCGTCGGGGGCCGTATGCACGCCCGTGATGCAGCGGGCTTAGACTGCGCAAGTGGTGGTTTTCCTTCTTGGCCCGGAGAGTAGCTTTGTAAGTGCGAGTGTTTACTCGGCGGACAGAGCGTGGCTGCGAATGAGTCCACGGGTTGCGTGGCATGAATCCACGATATCCGCGGAATTTGTCAGTGACATGGCTTCACTCGACACGGTGGCCATCCGACATGAACTGTGACCCCTATCACAGTGTGTCTTGTTTTCTCATTTATTATATACTCAATAGCTTGAGCCCGTATCTATTATTGTCATTGCTACCTGCGCAGTAGAACAAAGGAAAATCACTATTCTCATTAACAAATGACCCCTGGTATTTTTGTCTTTTCATTATGCCTCACTCGTTCCATCTCTTGTTTGCCTTTTTTTTCCCTTTCTTTCTTCAAATGCCCCTGAGCCACTTAACCAACCCATCTACGGACACTCTTAAAGATTCGAACCCAAGGACCAAAGTCACCCCACTCCTCGGTGGCCTTGGGCGGGATGTAGCTGTTTACGCCGGCAACGATGGTTCGTTCAGGGTGAGGCATCATAGCAACAAAACGGCCGTCCTTGCTCGAGACGCCGGCAACACCCCCGGGGCTGCCGTTGGGGTTGTAAGGATATTTCTCAGTGACCTTCAGCCTGTTGTCAACATAACGCATGGGTATCATGCCCGAGTTGGTCAGTTCCTGCAGGGAGTTTGGTGATGAGAATTTGGCTCTTCCTTCGCCATGAGACACAACCACAGGGAGTGATGAGCCGTTCATGCCGTGGAAGAAGACGGAGGGCTTGCTCTCATCTTCCTTGATTGTCACCATGCTGTATCGGCCCTCGAACTGAGCACTCTCGTTGTGAACAAAGGTTGGCCAGTGTTCCGTGCCAGGAATGAGCTCCTGGATACGAGTCAGGAACTGACAGCCGTTACAGACACCAAGAGCGAAGGTGTCGGGACGCCTGAAGAAATGCTCAAACTCGCGGCGTGTGCTCTCATGCATCAAAACAGACCTGGCCCAGCCTTGGCCAGCACCAAGAACGTCGCCATATGAGAATCCACCGGGGGCAGCAATACCGGTAAAGTCAGCAAGAGACCGTCCTCCAAGAACATCGGTCATGTGAACATCAACCGGCTCGAACCCAGCAGCTCTGAAAGCGAAAGCCAATTCAGCATGTCCATTCACACCTTGTTCTCGGAGAACAGCGACTCGAGGAGTCTTGTTGAAAAATCCAGTAATGGAGGATGTGAGTGGCAGGATGTTCTCGGATGGTGAGTAAGTCAAGTGGTAAGAGAGACCAGGGTCAGACACATCGGAAATTGTGGCGTATTCGGAGTCAGCACAGGCAGGGTTATCTCGGAGCCGCTGCATCTGGTGGGATGTCTTGGACCACCACTGTTGCATTTCGGCGCGGTCAAGATTGGCAAAGGTGGTCGCCCCGTGGCGGATAGTCAAAGACTGGTTAGGGCTGGCCTTGACAACTCCAAACTTGCGAATCAGACCGGGAGGGGGACCGCAGGTGGCGAAGCATCGCTTGAAGTTGATCTCATCAGACGCCTTGACCTGGAAGACAGCACCAAGCTCTTCATTGAACAAAGCTTCAACCATGTCGCTAGCCGAGCCGCTCTTCGAAATACCATCCATCATCATGTCGACGCCGCAGCGACCAGCAAACATCATCTCAGCAATAGTTGTGATCAAACCTCCGTCAGAACGATCATGATACGCCAGGACAACGCCACTCTTATGAAGCTGCGACAGAGCATCAAAATAGTCGGTAATGAGGTTAAAGTTCTTCATGTCGGGGGCCTCATTTCCAATGGCACCGAGCGACTGGGCCAGCGCTGAACCTCCCATGGCTCGTCGACCTTCCGCCAGATCAACAAACATGAGAATAGACTCTCCAACCTCTTCAACTCTTCGGAGCTGAGGGGTCCATGTGCTCAAAATGTCCTCCACAACCGCGAAAGCCGAAATAGCAACAGAGACGGGGGCTGTTACACTCTTCACTTCGTTCTGCTCCTTCCAAACAGCCTTCATGGACGTTGAGTCCTTTCCAACAGGAATGCTGACGCTGATTTCAGGGCACATTTTCATGCCAATAGCCTCGACGGCCTCATAAAGAGCCGCACCTTCGCCAGGGTGGCTGACAGCTGCCATCCAGTTGGCCGAGAGCTTGACTCTGCGCAAGTCTCCCATTACATCTGCAGCACCAATGTTCATCAAGCTCTCTGCGACAGCCATTCTGGCAGAGGCTGCGGGATTTATGAGAGCCAGAGTCGGTTTCTCACCCATGGCCATAGCCTCACCAGTTCTTTGCTTTCCACCAAGGCTGAATGAGGTAGCTGTCACGGCGACATCGGCCACTGGAGTCTGCCAGGGTCCAACGAATTGATCGCGGGCTGTAAGACCACCGACAGTTCTGTCACCAATGGTGATAAGGAAAGACTTTGAGCCCACTGCTGGCATGAGGAAAACCCGTTCCACCGCGTTCTTCAACAGCGTTGCATTGTCTAGGTCAGCTCCGAATGCCTTGCGAAGACTGGCCAGAGCATCAAAAGGCGTCAGATTGGGCTTTTTTGAGCTGACATTTCGTTCTTGCTGATGCTTTGGTGGGAATAGTGCATCCATTGGCAGGTCAATGGGGCGAGGATATTCCTTAGATTCGCGGTCTGTGAGAATCAACCTGGCGTCACCATTTGCGTCCTTGGTGGCAACTGCTCCAACATCTGAGAATCCGCAACGTTCTCTACGGCAAATGCTAGTGAATCGATTCATGTTTTCGGGATTGATGAGTAGAACATAGCGTTCCTGAGCCTCATTACACCAGATCTGCAGAGGGCTCATGCTTCGGTCAGCACTCTCGACTTGGCGTAATTCGAAGTTGCCGCCAAAACCAGCATCTTTGACAACTGTACAACGTGTTAGGGGTCAAATTGAACGGAGGAAAGCAGCGCTAAATGCTGAGGGGTCAAAACATACGCTCGGGTAGGGCATTGGAGAGGCCGCCAGCTCCAACATCGTGAATCATAGCAATCGGGTTCTGTTCGCCAAGAGCAGTGCATGTATTGATGACCATTTGGGCGCGGCGTTCCATCTGGTGCAAGAATTTAGCAAAATGAAGGCCTTCAAACACAATTTCAGAATGAACCAACCTCTGGATTTCCACGCTGCACACTATCAAAGTCCAAATCAGCATTACTCTCGCCGGACGCATTACTAGACGCAGCACCACCCCCGAGGCCAATCAACATGGCCGGGCCTCCGAGAACAATGACGTGGGCACCTTCGCGGACAAAGCGCTCCTCTTTCAGTGCGTTAGAAGGGCGAACTGTGCCAACACCACCAGCCAGCATAATGGGCTTGTGGTATCCGCGCCATGCAGAAGCTTCAGCTTTAGCATCTTCTGTGGGAGTTTCGGGGGTAAGAAGCGTTCGAAAGCAGCCCGTAAGACAAGGGCGACCAAACTCGTTATTGAAGCGTGCACTGCCGATAGGGGCCTCAAGCATGATGTCTAAACTGCTGGCGTAGTGAGAGGGGCGGCCGATATCAACTTCCCATGGAGCTCGATGATCGGGAATCAGGAGATCAGAAACCCAGTAACCGGCAAGACCGCCCTTGGTTACGGAACCGCGTCCGACAGCAGCTTCGTCACGAATTTCACCACCAGAGCCGGTGGCGGCACCGGGAAAAGGCGAAATGGCGGTAGGATGGTTATGAGTCTCGACCTTGGCCAAAATATGGGCAACTTCCGGGGTCATTGTCCAAGTTCCAGTAGAGTAGTCAGGGGCCCAAAAATTCGCAGATTCACCCTGAAGAACAGCGGCATTGTCACTGTAAGCCGAAACGGTATAATCGGGAGTCTTCTTGTGTGTGTTTCGGATCATTTCGAACAAACTGTTATTCTTCTTAACACTGTCAATTGTCCAGCTGGCGTTGAATACCTTGTGGCGACAGTGTTCCGAATTGACCTGGGCGAACATGAAAAGCTCTACATCGTGAGGCGAGCGGCCGAGCTTCTTGAACACGTCGACAAGGTACGCCATTTCCGATTCATCAAGGCTCAGTCCCTTTTCTTTGTTGTAGTCTCGGAGGACGATCAGAGGATCCTTGCCGTCGGCGAAGATGTCAACGACAACAAGTGGCGCAGGAACCCCAGCAGCAAACATGACGTCAAGTTCGGGCTTCTCGAAGGAGAATATCTCGGTCATGCGATCGTATAGGACATCTCGAAAAGTGGCGTCTTGTCCAGTTTGATAGGGCTCTTCGAAATCGATGACAATGAGTCGACCCTTTTCAATACGGTTTACCTGCTCCTTCAAGCCGCAGACATGGGCAATGTTGGTGGCTTGAGAACTCCATGGCGAGAGGTATCGGGGGGTGACGTAGACGGTAATTGTGTTGCTAGTGCTCTCAGAAGCAAGGAGAGGTTCGGAGTCGACATCCTGAAGGAGTGTTTTCACTTTCTCCAGGACAGCCTTGCTGGACGACTTCAGGTCGACAAAGTACACCCACTGGCCCCGGATCTGCTGGATCTTGGGCTGGCTGGTCTTATTGGCACGAGCTTTGATCTCTTGTGCACTGGTAGCCGTGTAGCACGAGCTACCGACGAGAATATCGTGCGGCATAGTGAGAAATGTACGATTAAAACGCGTAAAACGCCTAATCGTGGAAAGGCGTGGTGAACATGAGCCTGGGTCGACGAATTTAGAATCTTTGCTGCCCCTCTCCCTTATCGATAGAGGGGCTCATGAAAATTTTCGGACCGGCGTTTGCCCGCATCAACCCCACGGACAGAACCTTGATGGGTTGGGGTTAGTGAACTGACACCTGCTCAAAAACGGCACGCAACAAACAACACCACGGGTTTCAGCATCGAAGCGCAGAACCAGCTCACGATAATTGAGACAATCTTGACACTGTAGTACTCGACTCTGCAGGGCTCTTTTGGTCAGAGGAAATTGGTTCTTCGGGTGGTCTTTACATCAATCTCCTTGCTGCTGAGAGCCCACGATCCAACCTTCGCTCCACTTGCTACCCTAGATCTTGCGCAGGTGGAAGGCGAATTCTATCCTGCGGGTACGGGAACACTCGCCAGGGATACTAGATCGAAAGCAAGTGGGAAGCATATCCAATGCTTGCTGGGCCGGCTGTGTGATTGGAGTGCTAGATGCAATGGTGCAGATACGTTAGGCCAGGTGGGTGGTAAGAGGTTAATGTAACGTGGGCTTTTAGACTGACGTGGCCATCGCGACGGGAGCAGTTGTCAGGATAGGGTCGCTGAAAATGGGCAGTGATCGCAGTTGTTCGGAGAGAAACAAGACACTATACAAATTCTATTCATTGCTAATTCATAATCAGTTGAAGGGCAAAGCTCTTGTGAATGATTATATTATTTATAATACGCCACACCTCAAGCAGCACTGCATATCCGCCTCCAGTTATATTCGTTTGCACATATCTATTACTCGTCGAGCTCCGTACAGTCCGCATGTCATGGCAGAAAGAACGCAGCATCTAGCACGGGCCGGCATGACGTGCGTTGGCGCAATCAGATTGTGTACCGGCCGCCTCACACGCTGACAAACTGGGGATGCAGCCATCACAGAGCGCCACCTATGAATCACGCACGGGTTGCCGCCAGGGGCTTCACCAGATGACAAAATCCCTGCGCCATTTGAGTCGCTGAAGTTCGGGACTGATGTGGAATCATCTGAATTAAGAAAATACTACTTGAGCTGAATTTGGCTACATGATAAGCTCATCAACGTCTTGAATGGACCCGAAATCCTAGGGTAGCTTTGTTCCTCATTCGCCGCTGTCGTTTCATTACCCGGTCCATGAGTTACACATGAGTTACAAACAGCTGCTACAGGTCCCTTGGCAGTATTAGTGGACAATAACTGGCCAGACATGTTGAGTGGTGAGCGATAATAGGCAAGAAGTCCGTTCAAGAAACCAGGGGGCCCCGGGCTGCGCAGTTTACAGTCGTTCATCTCTCTGGAATAACATCGAACTCGACACCCCTTTGCCTAGGCTAGCAGCCTACATCGTGCAAGTTTTATACCCTGACTTCTGTGAAGAAGACTGTTTTCAAACACCGTCGCACGGACAAATGTCTCATCAGATCCAATCTGCAAAGCTTGCTGTAGGCCCTGGGTAATGCTTCATGTATCTATTAGTCATTCCTTCCACACAAAGATTAGCGGTGCATAATCCCTGTTGCCAGGGCCTTGTGGAAGGTCAAGCTTGTTTTCCCTTGTTTTCGGGAAATATCCACGTGTTGTACGCAGTGTTGGGATGGATCGCATCGTTGCATCGTGGCACCCAAACCCATCCAAGACACGGCTCAAAACATAGATTAGGGTTGTTTGACAGCGCACTGGCTATCATATGTCTAAACTACAGCCGTCTCACCTTCCTTAAAACCAGGTGGCAAGTATCAAATCACCCGCCGAAAATATACTCAACAGTGGAAATCGAACAAAGCCGTGACGGCTCCATCTTCCGTGACGGCGCCGCCGCACCTCGGCAAAAGTGGGCCCGGGACTGATGAGCTGATCGGGGGATCAGTAATGGGAACACGGCACGATGCGCACCACGCCCTGCGCTGGCCAATCTTCAAGGCGCGACTAACCGGATCTATAAGACGCGAGGCCAGGCCGGGCAAGCTGGTTTAAAAATCCACAAAGCATGGCCAAGTCTTTACAAAATGGACCAGTGGCTGCATGTATAAAAATGACAGCCACCTCCGACTCACCGCCGTCCGAGATTATGCTTGGCCAAAAAATAAAAAAGGAAATCCATACTAATACAGCTTTGTCTTGGTTTGAAATACCATGAATCTCGGCATTGAATTATAAACACATTCCCGCAAAGTGTTGCTGCCTCGTCAACCCTACGTGGACAGGTTTGCCCTCTTCCCGCCCCCAGGCGAACGATCCACCCGGGACACAGCGCAAAATCAAACATAGCTCGGACATCAAGCTGGCCAGAATGCGGACAACTATAGACCTGGAGGCACCGGGTGATGCTGAAAAGGCTCAAGACGGAGGTACTTTTGGCAAAAACGCCACCGACAGCGAGACGCCCCATGGAGGAGACACGGACGAAGAGAATCGGATTGAGAATGCCGAAGCTCCAAGGGAAGTCATTTCCAACGAGAAATGGGCAAAAGACGCCTCAAACCCAATGAACTGGCCCGCGTGGAGAAAAGTGATGCTCATTTCGTGCACATCGTCAATGGGATTCATGGCGTAAGACAGGCAATGCCGCAAGCGTGGGTGACACAACAACTAACAGCATCTTGTAGCTCGGCGGCAACTTCGATCCTCAGCCCCGGCCGCGCACAGCTCATGGCGGAGTTCAACGTCAGCAGCACCGTCGCCATCCTACCCGTGGCGCTGTACGTCTTCGCCCTCGGCTTCGGGCCCGTCGTCGGCGGTCCGCTCTCCGAGAC